TTATATTGTTGTAAGGTTACTTTGCGTCATTGACATGGAACCTATGGCAGTGTGTAATAGGAAAATAATGACTGATGCCTGTTTAAGATATCTCCTGTTGCATAAAGCATCTATGTTGCATGGCTTTCTCGTCAGTTGCTGTTTTCAAAGATGGGCAACGATGCAGAAAATTGGCGCAATTTGTTTTTATTAGTTTAATGTATCGCAAGGAAGTAACACAATGCACATAAACCTTGAAATTAGTTTCTCTTGGATGCTGTCAGTAGAACGGTATCTTAAAGTTGGTTCCATAACAGCTGCAATTCATTTGCACTACAAATTCACGTATATTTAAATATATTTACATTACCTTGAATAAAGGCGTAGTCAAATGTAACATATTTTACAGTTATGATTATACTTCCTCTGTAAGTTACAAATTCTGGTACCTTTTTCTGTTGAGACTGAGGTTAAGGTTAACGATACATAGTAATTTACAGTTTGTTTGCTATGGTCTTACTAATGGCAACGTCTTTGACATTAATAATACAACGGTTTGTCGTTTGATTGTGACGGATCCGATATGTTTGACATTAAACGCACAATATTAACTGTGGAAATAACGATCACCACATAGTTGACACTCGGATGAAGCTGCAGTTCCTTGACTACTTCTTCGAGACCTATGGGCAGCGATGGTATGATAAGAATCACTTCAATAGTCCAAAACTATTTCTTTGCAAATAAGGAGTAACGTAGCGTTTAGCATATATATTTCAAAGGAAACCTGAAACTCGTCATATCATAAATATCCTACTTTGTCTTATCCGAAACCGGAAGGCTGAAAATAAGGCCAGAGTTAAACTGTTCAAAGACTGCATCGGGTTGCATAACGAACGTGGCGTTATAGAAGTATTTCCGTGTATACACTACCTAGCATACATTGCTGTGCTTTCACATACATCGACTATTGAGCACAGATGTAAAGGCCACCAATGAATGGACGCTTATTTCTGGACAGTCATGGCATAACTATGCACAGATCGAAAGTGAACGACCATACAGCATTGTGTAAATGACTCCAGCAGTTGTAGGTTTCGTAAAGGGACGTCAAGGTGTTTTGCCAAGGAAGACAGGCGGTTCAATAAACCATTATAGAGAAAAGCTTGACGTACCAGCCAGTGCCTTCAGAAAGAGATGCAACATGGCTGTAGATGATCTTCTGTGAGGCTGTTTTGTCACAGACAATTTAACGCAATTCCAAGCGAAATGACAGCTATGTGCCCTCAAACCCTGTGAGCTCTTTATTCTACATTTCTGAGGCATTTTCCTGTCAAAACAATTACTGGAGTGAGCGAGAGACTGGCGAGTGAGCCAGGCTATATAGAGTTACACTTACTGAGGCAACTGACTAGTAATTGGAGGACTACCATACCCAGCTCAATTTATGATTCGATTACCGTCTGATTTATCGAATATTCCACACGGAAAATAGCATATAACTTGTTCTGAATCAGATAATTAAACAATGTGAGATGGTTACAAATTAGTTTGGGGTTTCACGAAAATTGATTGCCAGGCCTAATATAATTTTCTATTAATACAAATGGCATATCATTTAATAGTATTGTCAATCCGAATTTACCTATCCTGTGTGCTAATGATAGAATCAGATACTGCATACTTCGTAGATAGATGGTATGGCATGGTACTGAGGAGGGATAAAAGCAAATGGGTGAGGTAATAGGAAACGATTGTGTATGAATTAAAGCAACTAATTCGATTTGTGCTGCTATATATACTGTAGGTATATATAGCAATTGTATAATTGTTGCAAGGGTTAAAGTGTCATTTGTTCCCAAGTCCAGTTTCTGATGCAGCCATGTAAGTCAATATGTCGCAATGCTTGATTTGTTAGTCTTGTATGATGAATGATGTTATGTTTGGTTAACTTTCCGTTGACAGTGTAAATGAAATCTACAAACGCCGCCTTGAGTGTTGACATACTGATAGTATATACTGCAAGTATAAACGTGTATATATGCTATGGTCATTCCCGGCTTTACGGTTGGGATTGACAAACTAAGTTTAAATATTAGCTAAAGGCATTGATCTCCTTAACGAAATGATGACTGAAATCGCATATCAATTTGTCCAATCTGCCTTTCGCCGGATGGAACCTGTTTCGGCAGATTATACTCTAACATTGACCTTTGCATTCACTTACAATTGTGTATGGTAATTGTGAACTAAAACGTTTAACTGTTGAAATCAAAATTAAGTCATAGCTTGCTAGCTTACTTTCATTGCAGTGTTATTATATTGTGGACACAACAGTATTTCTATCCCTAAACCATCTGTGTAATGACCAGTAGCACATCGATGCATGGGGGAAGGTGCCTGCATCGGGAAATCTGCAGAAAAATGGTAACAAACATGTCTTCCGTCAATGCACTGTCTTGATACCAAAGCATAACGATATCGATACGAATAAATTAAGCTTTGCCTTTCTTCTTAACATTGAAGAAGTTACCAACGTGCATCTTTTGATGAGACCATGGTCCCTCGGGTAGACAGTAACATATGAAACTACTGATTACAAATCAAAGTCTGGGGATGTTCTAAAAGGAAACTGCAAACACGAAAATATGAAACTTTATCCCCCTACCACCTAGAACAATATCTATTCTGTATATCAGTAATGAATTGCGTCTGGGAATGTCATGTACATGATAGTGGAAATTATGGTATCACAGAAGATTTTTTTGGCCTACACTGTTTGATTATCTCATTGGGCACGGTGGTCATATTGGATGTCCCTCTCTCTTCCGTCATACAACATCAATATCCAATTTATCACAGTCGGCAACGTGTACTTTTGCTTCATAAACCCTCTTCAGAGATCAAACAAGGGACCTGTGAGGACCCAGACTAAATTGCTGCACCAATATTTTCTCAACGATGATGTCCGTCTAGGGGTGATTGTGTGAACACCTCAAGAGACTACTGGTCATTCATTTAGAACAAAGCAGCTTTATGCTGGACCGTGGTCAACAGGATAGAGTTAAACCAATCTGACCAGACAGTCATCAAACCGGATGAGGCAAGTAAGGGCCACACATGGGTGGAGGAAGCCTATTTAGGTACATTGTGTGAAGAATTTCATAAACTGATATGCGTGTATTTCAACTTAGGGCCACAAGTTGGTATAGGTACTTCCAGTCGAGACAAGCAGGAAATAATGTATGGAACGTTAAGAAAGGAGAATTAAAGATGCAGCGAACAAAATGGTACTGAAGGGCAGCTGAAACTGGTCACGATGTGATAATTTTGTGTGGTTCGTCAAAGATGAGATAGGAATGAGGACACATCTTGTTGTTTGCGTGTTGATGGGTATTGGGTTTTAGTAGCACTTGCGTGGGTTTGTTCGTTAGTCTCTTTCATTACAGAAGGTGAATCATTTACGGTGTTTTTGATGTTTTGCAAAAACGGTTTCTGTTCGTGTGTTTGTTTCATAAATTCTAGCGTGTCAATGTGATTGCTGCAAAAACCGATGAATTAATCACATAACGCTGAAAACGCGAGTAACAAGATGACACTTACTGAGATTTATTTCAGTACGCCATTAGCAATGCAGAACATGCCACCTGCACGCGCCTGTTTCTTGAACAAAACCACGTGTCAGCTCAAAACCCATTAATCACAAATAAATAGTGCGATCGTCCTAGGTTTGAGTTTATCAATATCCGATGTTCTCGTCATTCATGGTGATACCTGATACAACCAAACTGCTAACAGCCTTTTGTACACGTGAACAAAGTTGTCGTCTGCTCTCCGCATACGACCTCATATTGAACCAGTGAATGCGATATATATCATAGAGATTATCTTAATGAGCATTATGGCAGGAACCGTTTGCAATTAGGGACTCGAAACTTGACCTCTGTCAGACCTGACTTCTACCAGTCATAGTCTTTGGTAAAGTTAGAGAAATTACGTCGGTGATGAAGTGAGTTTTGATTTGGATTATCTTGTTGTCGCATGCAGTTCTTACATCATGCTCTCGTTTCATGTCATCGTTAAGTGTGACGGAATGATCCAGATAAGAACTGGAGATTACACATGGCATCGCAGGAGTTAGCCGGCAGTATCAGTCAGGTGGTCGTGAAGCTGACATGTCTCATTTCCACATGTAGGGCAGTGTGGAACATGGCAGTTTGCGTTATGCCTAAAAACTGGTACTGGTGTATAATTTTTTGCAGACGTTTTAGAGACAGAGAGGTTATTTCCCTTGAGGTTCCTTGTAGAGAATGCAATTATCAAACTTAAAAGTAATTCATCATTATGGGGATAACGCTTGACTTGTTTATCATTGTTACAGGGCATCGTGCTGTCTGTAAACCATCAATGAACACAGCATGTGTCTCACTGGACTCTTGGATTCTAATGTTCTAATCATACCAAGTATTAGATGCTCGTTTATTTTAGTATATTCTTAATTTCACCCTGGCCGACAAGTTGCATCAAAAGAGTGAGTAGGTGATTGAGTGAGGTTAGTTTTATGTCGCTTTTACCAATATTCCAGCAATATCACGACGGGGGACACCAGAAATGGGCTTCACACATTGTACCCACATAAACCACTAGGCTGCCCCGACATCCTGCATCCAAAGAATAAAGAAGCTGCACTAGAATTATAATGGAACTTCTACAAGCTTAATGCTCTCATTATACAAGATAAGTTAAACTCCAGGCTTGCCAACAGATAAAGGGTGTTTTCTTATCAGCTTTAAACTGCATATGCTTTCAGGAATTCTTGTAGATAAAGCTAGAAATGCAATTTTAAAGAGGCTAACTTTCAGTAATTTCCTTTTGTATGTCAGGTATGTAGAGAGCATTAATCATGCCAGGGATATCTCCCGTATGTCCAGTGTGCCTCTTCAGGACTTGATTATTTTCAACGCACCGTTGAATGCTTCTGGTTCTGGCATGGGTCGACATATCTTAGTGTATATACTCACCGATGCAAAAAGAACATAATCCCAGCCAATACCACGATGACGACCAACACACAGGCCAACACAATGATCACTTTACAGGGCGTAGCACAGATCTCTGTCTCTAGTCGTTCTCCCTGGTCCAGAAGAGGGGGTTCATCGTCCTCGACTTCAATCCGACATTTATCGACCATAAACAGTTTGACTCTTTCGCCAACATTCTCCCCCAAACATCCAGTCCAGTTGACTCGGTGCAGAAGTCCAGTATTCCAGGGAGGGGGGCACGGAAACCCTTCCCAGAATCCCCGGAGCAAAGGGTCGAGGTACACTTCCGCCATCAGTAGGTCAAAGAAAGGTAGGATCCTTGAGGTAAGCATTAAGTTGGTCGAAAATCCTGTACCATGCTGAAAAAGGGAAGGCCAAGATTTAGACATGGTAAAGTAAAACACGTTTTAACGTCCAAGACAAAATTTAATCTGTAATTATCATAGCTTGGCATGGAACATCTAAACCAACGCTTAACGTGTCATCCCCAACGTCGTCTGTTGACAAACATGGTCAGAAAGCAGCGCTTTAACCACGACGTTTCTAAAATTTTGGCAATCCGATCTGAACTAATACCAAGCTTCACGTTAAACACAAGGAGGTGATACCTATTGTACAACGAATCCAAACAATAGTGAATGGAAACAAATGATATTACATCTAACGTAACTGTTGATCAAGTCAAAACAACGTGTCTGATAACCATGAAGTCGACAAAGTGATTCTGGTTCCTTCACTAGGGAAAACGTAATGATTCCTCATCTTTATCTGAAACCAAATGTATCGCTGACCCCAAGACAGCAGGCAAGCTGTAACTCTAGCTCCCAACATCGTCCTCGCGGTGTTGGTGACAGAATATAATCCTATAATATTTCATGATAGCTATTAATAAATAAACACATATGGCTAAAGGAAAGTTATGCGTATTCCCGAGCAGTAATCAATATAATTTTAACTCGTACAAAACCAGTTCCTATTTCTGACATTTACAAAGTTAAACAAAACAAGATATTTTCAGTGAGTGATAAATAGAATAAAAACATTAAGCGCTCGTCTTACGCTCCCCGGGTCATCATTATAGCCAGACAATGTATACCAGACCATGTTAATAGGTTGACAAAATATGTCTAGAAATGAGAAACCCCTCTGCTTGGTGTCTTTGTCTGATGAAACACCGCTAGGAGACATCCCATTTGCCAACAGAAAAAAAACAAAAGTCTAATTAATCACTCGAAACGAATGGAAAAAAGCATGTACACGACTCATAATGGTTTAATGTTACATGAGCTTTGCCGTGAGTTTCAGTATTTCTAGGAGATAATTACTAGGGAACAGAAGCTAAGGTGCTCTATTTCGTTTCTGGAAAATCTAGTGTACATATAAATTCATATTCCTTTGATCAAATAGAACCCAATGGGCGGTGGCTAAAGAAGGCTTACTTCAGATTTTAATGAGCGAAATCTCCCCGTTTGATCAATAAGGATATTTATGAGAAAGAAAATTTATAATGGTTGTCTGTAATAATCAGCGAGAAGGATTTGGATCAGTTTTCTTTGAGTAAAACACCATTTATTTAACGTGATATGTTGACAGAAGATTAGAAAGTTTATTAATTATCATCTCATTGAAAAGTTTGGGGTAATATATCAAGACAAAGGCTTGGCTTTATAACAAAGAATTCGCAATACGCAATATAACATGAAAGAATATTATCTCTAACGGTATTTAAGAAGTTGGATAGTAACAGTATAGGCAAGATACTTTATGGATGACAACGTCTATATTATATAATGATGTGCCGTTTTTAACATTCTCCTGTACATTGCCTTCCGAACAAATACTTAGAACAATACAATAGAAGCTACAAAACCCTTTCACGTCCATAAAGAATCTCAGCTAAAAACATTCTTGACCAATGTTAATTTTGAAGGATCTCATACCCAATCTCGAGCATTACAGGGGAAATAATCGGCAAGTATGAAGTCACAGCACTATGAGTCAAAAGCGTCTGATCACTGACTGCCCTTCCCTGACATATTACACAGTCTTTCAGGGCAGTTGAGTAACATGCAATACCTTACATCACATTCCAGCTCGTTGATGGCAAATACCCTCAATTACCCAGCCTACATGCTCCATTTAGAGCGTGTTCGTGGTACTGTTACAGAGCAAATACTTGTAGCTTTCACATCAATCATTCCAGCTTCGGTTGTCAATCAAATGACACAGAATTGTATTTGTTCAGCGAACTCTTCAAGTCGGATTTGTTATACATTACCTTGTTGGGGGCATTACAAACCTCCTGGCCACGACCGGGCAACAAGAGAGCCTGGGAGCTATTTACGAGAAATGGACCTCTCCGTGTTATTGTTGTCCTGGCGCAAATCTTATGACAAATATTGGTGTAGAGATATCATATTGGACATCATTCTCCTGACACTAGACACGACGTGGGCTGTTCAAGTATGGACAGCTAATAGACTATTCTGCGAGGTGGTGGATTCTTCATGCTGATTCCTAATCGTTTACATGAACGTTTAATACCAGGCCAAGTGTTATGTACATCCTCGCTGTTGACATGTACGTTATCTGGATTAATGACATTAAAGAACCAGGTCCTGACTACAAACGATTTAAAAAACTGGCAATAATTTACATTCCCGATTTAGAGACATGCTGCTGGGATTCTGAATTATGTTATTTAACAACCATAACAGAAGAACATTTTTCATCCCAAAATGCAGGAAAATTATATTTTTCCAGTATTTTATCAGACCAAAGGCGCCATCTAAAAATACGAAACGGTCGATCCAATCGTCCCGATAAACACTACAAGCGCACGATTACAGAATGATATTTTATTGTCATCTTAGGAAACGTCAAATAAAACTGAATGAAAATTTAGGATCGATTTATGTCAGTGATCCTGTTATTTTGGAATATCTTCAGACCAAAATGGATTAAGGCAATGATTATTACAGACAATATTTCAAAATATCTTGCAAACAAACAATAGACACTAAAACCAAAAATAATCACGTCACTGTATGTATTATTTTATTATAGTATAAAGCGCACATATCCAGGCAACTAGTGCATGCTCAAGGCGCTGGTATTTTTTCCCTCGATCATTGGATGTCAATCTCAACGGCACATCATATTATCAATCTCAACTCCCTGGGGAGTATACAACTCGTGCAGCCACAAGACGCACCGAGTTATTGTGGCTTTCTCATCCTAACGAGGTACACATTAATCGTTGAAGCATGATAGATTTACATTGAAGATCTGATCAACAATCATATCAAGTTGGTTGTTTTGGTACCCCACATCTGAGCAGGTGAACATTACGATGATACAAATATACCCCGTTCATACTTGACCACGACGTTCACGATTAACATTCGACATTTGATTCAAGTAACGCAGTCAGATCTTTCACAATACACGATGTTTTATATTTGCAAACCGTGTAGATGGTATGTATAGGCGAACCCAGTGGACGCAAAACATCGATAGTCTTCCAGTATCAAATAATGAACCTATTCCAGAGTCACGCGCGTTTGTGCAACTCCGATTGTAGAGGAAAACCCAACAGAAAAAAACACACATTTCGGTTGAAAAAAAGTCACCCGAAAAAACAACAACGCACTCAAAACACTCTCTGGTTAGTGAGTTCGGTATAGTAATGTAACAATACAAAACAACAAGTATGGGCCTTGCACGGTAATAAACACTTTTTAACTTCCAGTTTCACAAACTTATGCAATACATAGCATATGTCACTGTGATATCAATCACTTCGTCACTTGGTCAACATGAGAGACAATAAGCCCGCAGGACACCTGTAATACCAAATGCTGATAACTTTGACCAGCAAAAGAATAGTCTTTAATCCATTAGTTTTCATAACTAATCTATTTGACATATGTTATATTTGGGATTACACTTTCTTAGTAAAGTACAAATTCTAGTGCTTTTAGTCGAGTTGAGTCGCGGTAGCTGGGCGGATTAGGCGGCTGACTTTGTGTGCTGGCGATTATGTGCCTGACTCTGAGGGTGTGAGTTCGAATCCCGGATGGGGCTCAACTCAAAAAGTACTAGAATTTGTACTGTGCTAAGAAAGTGTAATCCCAAATATAACATATGTTACATTTGACCACTTTCTAAATGGCATTGTGTAATCATAATCTATTTGAGTTCACAAGAATTGTTTCAATGTAATAATATTTACCCGGCTGACGTTTTTCTATGACTATTTCCGATCACCTTCATCATCAACAAACGTTCATACATTTCTAGTTTTGTCGATATGTGCATCTGAGCGTGGATACATGTTTAAAACATGCAGTGTATTGAGTTTATGTAAATAACAGATTTGATTCCTAAGCTTGCCATTGTAAGCGGTAAATTGATGTTTGTCTTACCTGTGTATCACGTAAACAATGAAATTACGTGCTAACAAACCGACAATAGACACAATTACATACAGCACTCACGTTTATTCGTACCTGTTGTTGTATATAAACGTGTTTGTCACAGCGAACTGATAGCAATATAGACATCGAATACAACCCGTACCAAACAAAGACAAGTTATCCAAGTGGGAAAACGTCGTCCCGCCCCAATTACTACTATCCATATGTCCCCTCGGTGACACGGGATTTAATTACACTAGTATGAATTATTCACGCCTAGTTTACACTTACGTGTAACTAGCTATGTTTGCGTTTTGTGACCTTATTGATTCTTAAGTCTGACAGGGGTCACGAGATACGTAGTACCCACTCAACTTCAAACCAACACGCTACGCACAGCCGCATCAAACGAGTCCTTACCATCAAATATTAATACCAGCTTTCAGATCTTAAGGATAAAACGCAATATGTTGCTTGTTACTCGTAGAGGCCCGGGGTTGCAATAAAGTCAACCTCATTTATTGCTTATGATTAAACAAATCCACTGTTTATTTGGCATATTAAATACTTTGATAATATTAGCATTAATCGGGTTTGGGTATTGCAAATATTTCGTCTTCTCTCGTGCGTATCTGAGAGATTCATGGAAAGCAATATGTGATCTATGAAAACGTATTGACAGGTGATTATTAAATTATCAATTACGCTCCTTCTCAATCACATAGTTATAATAACAGATATCAAGGGATATATATTAACATTTAAAAGTAACGACAAGTGCGATATTCATTGTGAGACGTGTTCACTTAATCAATATACACACTACTTTCATAAATGAAATTTCACTTTCATATTCATTTTACATACATGTACTGTCCTGTTTATTTGTTAGATTTCTGTAGTTATGGTAGTTAATGGCGTTATTCTTGTTGTTGTTGACA